GCATCTGACCCCAATACAAAACCTATCAAAAACATATTTTTAAGTAAGGATAGCTCTGTATTTTTTTTTTGCTCCTATCTTTCTTTGCAATGGGGTTGATACGTTTGAGGCTTACCTTTTGCTGTACTAGTTAGAATTTGTTCAAATTATTTGCCTGTGAAGACTCCTAGTGTTAGAGCTTTTCAGTGAAATATTTTAGACTTAAATAAAAAGGGAAAAATACAGATGTACTTCTCTATATAGAGCTACATTTCTCATACACAGTTGTACTGTTTTAGCTAATATGTGAAAAATAACAGGTATGCCAAAGCCTATGCCTTTGTCAGCATTTTAACATGTAGGAATTACACTTCTAAAGCATTACTGAACTAGAAGGAAATTGGTTATAAAAATGGACTCACCACGTAACTGAAAAATATGCAAATAAAAAACTTGTGATAATGTTCAAACAGCAGAGCTATATGAGAAAGAGGTAGCGGGATTAACACTCCCACATACATCAAAAGTGATTATTTGGATATAGCCTTCTTTGGCCAGTGAGGATCTGTGATTTGCATTAATCCCTAGCTTAAAGAATACAGTGTTGAAATAATTATATTAGTAAGCTAGAAACTCTATACTGTTATGCAAATTTTCATTTCTGATATGCATTTTTGTGTTACTATCCAGAAAATGCAATTTTCCTTTTAAAACATGACGCAGAAACAACACAAGAAAAACAAATAGAAGACAACCTGCCAAACTTTTTTCAGAGCCAACTTCCTCTCCCTTCTGTATCTGAACTAGAGTCTTCTCTAGTCCTTTTTCCTTCTTTTCACTTCTCTTTCCTTTTAAAGAAGAATGGAATTTTTCTGGGATGTGCTTTCTTTTCAGAAAGTCAAAATTCATCTAGAAATCAATGTTCCATCAATTATTCCCCAAAAATTCATTTTAATTTTGGTTTGGGTCTTTCAGGCCTTCCATGAAGCTTCTTTTTTCTTTTTTTTTTTTTTTTTTTTTTTTTTTTTTTTTTTTTGGTGGTTTCGTTTATTGCACTGGGCCTTTC